GATATATTCTCATCTTTCATCCTATCAAGGAAATTCTCTTCCAACAAATCTTTGACAATTTTCTCTGTGGTTTTGTCTCTTCCTGTTCTGGAATTCTGATTACACATAGATTATTCCTTTTGATGTTATCCCACATGAACCTTAGGCTTTCTTCATTTTTTTTTTTTTTTTTTCTCATTGATCCCTTTCCAAAGAAGTATTAAAGTATTTGTCTTCAATCTCACTAATTCTATCTTCCATTGATTCAGTTCTACTCCTTTGCCCTTTCAATGTGTCACCTATTTCTGAAAATTTCGTATTAATCTTCTGGATTTATATCTGTACATTCTGTATCATCTCTAATTTTTCATTTATTTTGTCATTTTGTTCTCATGGTCTTCTGAACATTTTCTAGGGTTTTCTCTGTGTTTTCCTCAATTTTGTCAGTGTTTTCCTTGATCTGCCTCTCAATCCACTGAAGGGACCTAAATATAATTTTTTTGAATTCCTTATCAGGAAGTTCCAGTGCTGCTTATTCCTCAGGGATGTATTCTGAATCTGTATCCCAGTCCCTTGTTTCTATTGGTTTATCTTGCTTCTTTGTGTGGACTGTGATGGTTGGTTGTCTCCATGACATTGTGATATTTTTGTGTTTATATTTAATTGGTGATTGTATGTTGGAATAATTCACTCAAGATTTTCATTTTCTTTATATGTATCTGAGTAAGCAGGGTACTGTGCTCCTCTATTCACTAATTGGCAGCACTTATGCCCTCACCACCTGTCTCCTTTCCAGTTACCAGCCTCCTGTATGTCTTTGCTGTCTTTGGCAAGTGGAGCCTAGTCTTAGGTCCCTGGAATCTGAACAAGAATGCTGTGACTTTAAATATCCAAAATGGCCACTGTTTGTAAGCATTCAAAATGTCTGCACCCTCTGGACAGCCAAAAGTCCACAGCTCAGTTTGTCTCCTACTTTGGTGTTTCCCTTTTCAGTTTTCAGCTACCCATGCAGTAGTCCATGCAGCCGTTGGTGAGTGGGGCCAAGTTTTAGGTTAATTCTCAGGTCCTAACACTACTTGGAAATATTCAGGCTGTTCGTGCCTTCAGGACAGGTGACAGTCCACAGCTCTGTTTGTCTCCTTACTCACTGTTTTCATTCAGGAGCTTTGGTAGTGTAATGCCTAAGGCATTTGACTGCTAACCAGAAGGCTGGTGGTTCAAACCCACCAGCCACTCCTCGGAAGAAAGGTTGGGCAATCTACTTATGTAGTGATACCGCCTCAGAAACACAAGGAGGGGATTGCTATGAGTCAGATCTGACTCTACAGCATGCATTTTTTTCCTGCTAGCTGGTGTTTAATCCACTTCTGTATCCCTCCCTTCAAAGCTCAGGGCTCCAGAATTATCTTCTGTATCTGTGTCAATTGGTTTCTCTTTTCTTTGTTTAAGAGGGTTTGTGTAGCTTGTCTACCTATTCTGCCATCGTACTGGAAATCCTACTAGCTTAGTTTCATAGGATTTTTGTTGTGGTGGTGGTGGTTGTTTTCAAGTATATTGCTTTACACAATGTGAGCATAGTTATTTTATAGTGTGCATCTGATATTTCATATTTCTGAAATTGTTATGGGTCTATTTCTGCTACTCATTGTTTCTGGCTCATTCTTACCCATGGTGTCTTGATTCCTTATTTGTCGATACTTTCCTTATGTACTGCTCATTGTCCTTGAAAAATTACTTGTGTCACAGTTGAGTGACAGCTCAATGAGTACAAATTTCTTGGTTGATTTTACACAACACCCCCCCCCAGAGTTGTACAATACTGTTATCCTACTCTTAGATATACTCATATTTCAGATACTGTAAATTAGCTCACCCATTATCCATTTCAACTTCTCTTTGCCTTGATTTCCTATACCGCAGAGGCTATAAGGCTAAAAGCTAAATATCCCTGATTCTTTGACCTAGGATTCCTCATGTAATTTTAAAACCAGTTGCTGTAGAGTCAGTTTCAATTCATGGCAACTTCATATGTGTTAGTTCCATAGTTTTCAGTAGCTAATTTTTCTGAAGTAGATAGATCAGCCTTTCTTCTAAAGCTCATGTGGGTGGACTCAAATCTCCAGCTATTCCATTAGTAGCCGATCTTGTTAACTGTATACACCACCAAGACTCCTCATGGAACTTGGTTTCTGCCAAACAGATCCACTGGCCCTAGACTTGGAGGGCAAAAGGAGGTGGCAGGGAAATTAGATTTTTCTGGCAACCATGATGGTGGAGGTATACAGTTCCTCTGGTGCAATATGGAAGTTTCTAGCACCCAGTCCCTAGCATCTTAGTTGCCAAAAAGCAAGCAATGCTCAGTAGTGATTCCTCTAAAATAGTCCTGGTACATGGTTGGGCATTTCTCCCATCCTATTGCCACTACCTTTGCTGTTTCTGGCTATGCTGCATCCAAGCCTAGTTTCTAGCCCTCTTAGAAACTGTGTAAGCTTCAGAACACCCTTTAATTAATCCTTTTCTCCTAAAGCTAGCTAGAGTGGACTCTATTGTCTATGACTAAGAATTCTGTTACATCCAGTAAAATCAAAATGGAATCAAGAAACCATAGACTTAAACCAGGAATGTAATGGAAAGAAATTCCAGCAAACAAAGCAAGCAGAGCTAAACTATGGTGTTGGAAGTTAGGATAATGGTTACTCTTTGCAGGTGATAGGGTATTACTGATGAGGACACATGGGAGAGACACTGGAATACTAGTAGTGTTTCTTTTTTTTTTTTCCCCAACCTGTATTGTGGGTGCCTGGGTATGGTCAATCTGTGTAAATTTATCCAGCTGTGCACTTACGTGTATTTCTAACTCTAAAAAAAACCAAACTCACTGCCATCAAGTTGATTCCAACTCATAGCAACCCTCACTGGGTTTCTGGGGATGTAAATCTTTATAGAAGTAGATTGCCCCATCTTCCTTCCGCAGAGCAGCTGATGGGTTTGAACTGTTAACCTGGTTAGCAGCCAAATGTCTTATCCACTACGCCACCAGAGATCCTTACCCACTAGCCACTCCTCGGAAGGAAGGTTGGGCAATCCTACTTCCGTAGTGATACTGCCTCGGAAACCGAAGGAGGGGTCGCTATGAGTCAGGTCTGACTCGACGGCACATAACAACAACAATACTTCTCACTAGGTATACTAAATTTCAATATTTTTCAAAAAGCTTTTTATAAAAACTGTGATGCTATTATAGAAGTTGGGAAAGAGTTCTGGTGGTGCAGTGCCCAAGGCATTTGACTGCTAACCAGAAGATTGATGGTTCTAACCCACCAGCTGCTCTGCAGAAGGAAAATGGGGGCAATCTACTTCTATAATGATTTACTGCCATGGAAATCCAAAGGAGGTCACTGAGTCAGAATTGACTCGATGGCAGTGTTTTTGTTTGTTTGATTTTTTAAATAGAAGTTGGAGAAGTGGTACAGAAAAATGCTATGGCACTAAAACATCACCTGGTTAACTGAGATTAAAGAGGTGAGAAAGGCAGAGACAGTGACACCCCAAGAAACAGACAGTGCAACAGCCAAGCACTAGGCAGAACTGAGGGAACAGGAGGTTGCATGGACGTCTTTGTGCCAGGTATTGTCTGTTAGTATTTGCCCTCTTCCTCCCATTCTGTGCTCTCTTTGGATCTGCCAAAAGCCTGGAAACTACATTTTGCAGACTCCCTTGCCAGCTAGGTTAGTTAGCTTTTATCAGTGGACATCACAGGTTGGAGACTAAAAAGTGAGTGAAAGGAAGAATCTTTTTCTTCTGACTCCAGCCGTGGCAGGTGCCCACAAGAGATCACAGGTGGCCAGGTAATTGTGGACTCCAGAAAATACATTATCAAACACACGTTGTAAAGACCAGGTCAAGAGTATTACCAGCCTTCTGATTTCTGAGTAAAACTCCCGTCTCCCTTTCTTTCATCCAGCTCTTCCAACATCTTTATATATAATTTTCAGCATTTGCATTAAATTTCACTTTTCTTGAAATACCTATTTTCCTGGAAAGACATACTGACACCTAATTCCCTCTGTACTCTGAAGGGAATGAACTCCTATCATTTATCAACACTCTGAGCATGGCTGATAAAGCAAATTCAAACACTCAGCTGCTCTCCCTTTGGTTCTCTCCTTCCTTCTTGGAACTGCCCTGGCCCACTCCCACGTGAGCTAGAACCATCTCTACTGGACCTCAGTACTATATTCTGCATGGACGCAACTGTCTGCTCACACAGCACCTGGCACACCTCACACTGTATTGAACTGTCCCCTCTCTTGACTGGGAGCTCCAGGAGGTTGGGAGTGGGCACTGTTTATCCTGAACTCTTTGGATGTTTGGCACTGAGCAGATGCTTACAGCATGTTTCCAAACTAAAACCAAACTCACTGCCATCGAGTCGATTCCAATTCATAGTGACCCCTTTGGGTTTTCAAGGTGGTAAATCTTTAGGGAAGTAGATTGCCCCATCTTCCTTCTGGAGAGTGGCTGGTAGGTCTGAACCACCAACCTTCTGGTTAGCAGTCAAATGCCTTAGGCATGATGCCACCAGAGCTCCTATACAGCATGTTTAATAGTACCATAATGGAGTCTGCAGGAGTTGATGGACAGAGATGGGTTGCTCTACCAAGTCCTAGGTTCAAGAGGAGTATGTTGTTGTTGTTGTTATGTACCGTCGAGTTGGACCCGACTCATAGCGACCCCTCCTTGGGTTTCTGAGGTGGTATGACTACGGAAGTAGATTGCCCAACCTTCCTTCCGAGGAGTGGCTGGTGGGTTTGAACCACCAGCCTTCTGTTTAGTAGTCAAGTGCCTTAGGCACGACGCTACCAGAGCTCCTCAAGAGGAGTCTAGGTGGGATTTTCTTTCTATGCCATGTCTCCAGAAGTCAAGTGGCAAGCAGGCAAATGTATGTAGTGTAGGAGATGAGGGGTGGCTTGAGGCTTGCCCCAGGGAGGACCTGGGACATAGAGAATACAGGCAGACTGGCTGACGTGCCAGATAGCTTTAATGAGCCTGAACACCTCTCCCCTAGTCCCTCCCTCCCCTCTCTCCACCCTTTCCTTCAGTTCTGGACAGGTCCAGCCTGCCCAAGGCTATAGGGCATCTCAGCTGGAGAATTCTTCTAATTTCTCTGTTTCCTCAGCCGCTCCAGTCGCCTCCGAAGGTCAGGGGGCACCTTGGCCCCTGCTGCCAGCAGCTCTCGCAGTCTCTGTTTGGGTGTCTTGGTGAGGTGGAAATTGCAGGGAACAGGGCCCTCTTCAAAGGTGACCTGACAGTTCCGTGTTGCTGAATGGTAGCCCTCAGCACTGGCAGTCACCACATAGTCCCCTGGTGTCAGCAGCCTCCAGTAATCCCCACCCCAAACTGAGGGGAGTGAAAGACAAGATCAGGGTTTAAAGATCCTCAGCCTAAAGCCCTCCAGCATCCCACTTTACCCCCACTCTACAGACACCTGTTGTTACGTCATGGTTAATCCCCTCCACGGCAATGACAGCATCAGCAATCCCAAGCTCCGTGTCCTTGTCCCGCACAACTCCTGTAATACCCATGCGCACCTGTGTAGGGAAAGGTCATCAAAACTGGTTTTTATCTGCATGAGATTGTGACCTTCAGTTAACTTTCTAGGTATGCTTCCCTGATAAAGGTGGTACATCTACTATGTTCCTAGGTAAGTATGATTCTTGTAAAAATACTTTCTGAGTAATGAATTGCATCTGGACAGGAAGAGAAACACCTGGAACCCACTGCCTGTGAGTCAACACAGAGAACTGCCCCATAGGGTTTCCAAGGCTATCATCTTTTTGGAAGCAGACTGCCACATCCTCCTCCCATGGAGAAGCTGGTGGGTTTGAACTGTCGACCTTCTGGTTAGCAGCCCAAATGCTTTAACCACAGCACCACCAGAGCTCTTTCACTGAACTTGGGGAAGCCTAAAGATATGCTTTCCTAGCATGTATTTATAAGAGCCCTGTCCTATAGAGTCGTTGTGAATGGAATCAACTTGATGTTTTGTTTTGTTCTTTTTTTTTTTAGGTTTAAGTTCAGTGACTCTTGTTATTGAGCTTATCTTTTGTAGAAATCTTGAAGTGATACCTATGGAGTCATCACTAGAGATATAAGCTCCAACAGAATATGAAGTTCTATGTGAGTCAGTTCTTGCACTCACCTAACGTGGGCCCTGGGTGGCTCTAGGGACCCCTGAAGAGTCTGCTATCAGGACTACACATTGGAGAAGCACATCTTAAATTATCTGGCTAGCAAACTGTGCCTTCTGTACTTTATCTTTCTAAATCAAATTGATGTCAAGTGTGGTCCGTGGCATCTTGTAAGGATGAGTATTTAGCTGGACCTTAGAAGACCTCGTGGGAGAGGCAGTGTAAGTGGTGAGCAGATGGTCAGGAGTAACTCAGGCAGGCTGGGGACCAGGGGATTTAGGTCTAACCTGTTCCAAGTAGGTGAGGAGGGCATCTTTGTTGTTCTCCCACTCCTGAGGCAGCTCATTCTCATGCGGGAACTTGTCACAGGATAGCTCTACAGTGACTTCAAAGCAGTTGGTGTGTAGGTAGCTGAAGTCATTCATGCCTAGGATACCACAGATGCTGGAGCCAAAGGGGCCGGGGTTGGAGCCCCACCCTCCTGGTACCCTCTTCTGGGAGATCCTTTAGGGTGGGAGTTGACACTGGTGATGTAACAGCAGACTGCTTCATTGGGGAAAGGGCTATGGGGAAAGGGCTACCTCCATTCTTAAGACACATACTCCCAGGAACAGTGTGCCAGTCAGCCCCGTTGATGATGTTGCCATGCAAGGAGAAGTCTTGGTTGTGGCAGGTGCGGCGGTCCGGGTCCTGCATGGCCCGATTAGTGCCAGCATACACAGTGCTGAGCCAGCGAAACACAGGATCATCGGGAGTGGGAGTGAGTTCACGGGCAGCCCATGGGGTTCGAGTCATGTCGAATGGGTAGGACACCACGAGCTCACCCCCATGGAGATTGGCGCTTAGCACAAAGGGGATCCGCTTCATCCACTCGATCACAGCCCGTGTTTCAGGAGCCACCTGGACAGAGACAGGTCAGGAGCCAGAACAATGCTCCTCCAGGTAGCCCTTTAGCACTGCCCCCGAATACTCACAGTGGCATTGGGCAAGGTGTAGTAAGTAGGCAGTGGCAGGTGATGGTTGGGGACAGTGTGAGGCACCAACCCATCATCCTCTGCAGTCCACAGTGGTGTGTTGAGGTCAGCAAAGTTGTGGTTAAGGTCAATGCCCTGGTAGTTCCAGCGGCCTTCTACCCAGCCCACCAGCTCCGAGCCCTGCCAGGGAAGGGGCTTATTCAAGCCAGGTCTGCTCTGGGCACCAGGTCAGATGGGATAGGATGATTCTCATGCCATGTGGCCTACCCGGCGGTAGGCGGTCTCATAGCCATCAGGGTTCATGGAGGGCAGCAGGTGAAGGCGCATCTCTGTCAGCAGCCGGGTCACCCGTGGGTTGCCACGGAGGAACTCACGGCACAAATACTGCATCAGCATCAGAAGCAACTCCCGCCCCAGGGCCTCATTTCCGTGCATACCGGCCACGTAGCGTACCTCGGGCTCTCCTGAGAGCACACAGGGGCTCACAACCAGCTCACACTCAAAGCCCTGCCCATGCCCATCCCTTCCCACCCCAGCCGTGAGTACCCAGCTCATGCTCCCCAGGGCGGTCCGACATTTCCATCACATACAGCTTCAGGCCCTGGTGGCTCTTTCCGATGCTGTAGATGCGAGTGATGTTGGGGCACTGCTCGTTCACCTGCTTCATCAGCTGAACCAGGGTGTAGGATGACATGCGGCATAAGAGGATTAGACCCAGGGCCAGACCATGGATGGCCATGGAAGTACTTACAAAAGCTAGTGGTGGTCCAGACAGATGGGGGGCTGTATATGGCACAGCACAGATGGGGACTAGCAGCAGACCCAGGGAAGGGGTCAGAAGAGGAGAGTCACCAAAACAAGGGAAATGGTAACAGAGCTTAGAGATCAACAGAAGGAAGGGTGAGACAGTGGGGGCCATGGGAGCTGCCACAGCAGGGCGTACCCTGGTGGGGAGGAGACCTGAACTGGGCAGGCCCTCTGTGTCTCAGGGGTTATAGCTGACCTTCCTCATGGCCTTATAATCGTGATGCCGAAAATCCAGAGGATCAGAGGATTCCAGTACAGAGGCCCCAGGGAACAGGCCATTAGGATCTGGTAGAGGATGAGTTCATGGTCAAGGGTCTCGGTGGAAGGTGCAACCTGTGTCCAGGCCCTGCCCATCCAGCTCTTGCCCAACAGCCCACCTGAGACTGGGCAGGCCAGGACCTCTGCCCGGAGGCAAGCTGCACCTCCCTGGAGCCAGGTCTGAGGCAGCAGGCGAATGTAACGGGCTACCTGGGGCTCCGGCAGGAGGTTCAGCACTGGGGTCTCTTGGTCTGAATTGGCTGGAAATATCTGGGGGCATCAAGTCCTTTGTTAGGGTTGTTTGAACCCCAGCAGTCTGGCCTAGAACCCAGGGCAAGAGCTCACGCCTCCAAGCTCATCTTATAATTCACCCTGGGGGATCAGGCTGGAGACTTGCATTCTACACCGAACACAGAGCCCCCTGCCCATAGCCCCTGCTGATGGGCAGTCCCAGAGAGCCGTGCTTTTTGACTTAGTCACAGTTGATTAGGCCAATATGGTCATGTGAGTCCAGAGCAGCCAATCCTAAAGCTGGCCAGGACCCCACACCATAGCTTAGTAGTGGTAAGGAGGGGTCTATGAGGTGGGGAAGTGAAAGCCATGAAATAGCCTAGAAATGATACAAGAAGGACCAGACCCATTACTAGAAGGGATGTTCCAGGCAGGAACCTGCAGCATAAAGCTGGACCTACCTGGAAGTAGAGGAATCTGGGGAGGATATGGGCATGCTGGGTGTCACTCATCCTGACAGCAACCCCCTTTCTACTGGGATGCCCGAGCAGGTATCTGCTCCTTGTCCCCAGAACAGTCCCAGCCCACAAGAGCCCTCTCTAGTGGACTGGGTGCCCAACTCCCAGCATAGAGGGTCCCAGCCACTGTGGGCCCACTCACTGCGTCCATGCCAGTGCTGCGGTTCCTGCTTCCCCACCAGCTCCTACTGTCATTGCTGAACTGGATTTTGTATGATGTGACCCAGTCGTACCTGGAAGAGAGGTAGGGAGAGATCACCAGTGCCCCCCAGGGCTTCCACCCAGCCCACTTGTATCTGCTAGACTGCCTCACCTCCAAATAGAGTTCCTGCCCTGTGTGATAACACCTGAGAAGCGAGTGGGGTGCCGAGCATCCACCTGAAGCCACGGCTCGGCGTCCTGCTGCTCAGCACACCAGGCACCATCATACAGATCACCATCCTCCAGACCTGACTGAAGGCACAGGACAGGGGGACAAGGTCAATGGTGGGCACAGTGGAGTGGGCCAGGGCAGGGAGGGGGCAAGGGAACAGGCCCCAGGGGTCACCTTGTCTGCCCCTAAGACTCAGGATCTGCACCACGGTTGCTGACCTGGATGTTGAGCCGTCCTCGGTGTGGTCCAAGACCAAAGGACTGGCTGCTGGATGCCTCAAGCTGGCTGTCTGAAACTCGTAGGGATTCCAGGCCCAAAGGAGGACAGTCTGGGGCAAAGAGCAAAGAGAGGGTAGTCAGGGCAGGTGGGAAGCTGAGCCTAAGCTTGCCCAGGTGCTAGGCAACCTTCGGGCATGCCTATGCCCATGAGACCAAGGGCTATCTCAGTGCGAGTGCCAGGGGCTGCAAGTCTAGGCTGGACTACTGGCGGGGTGGTACCTGGTTTTTGCTCCTTAGGGGGGTCAAAGGTCTTTGCAGGATTGGCAGTCACTGGGGGACTGGGGCCAGTTATCTTCTTTCTTTTCTTCATGATGACTTTTTTCTTCTTGATGACTCGAATCCGGACATTCTGTCCTGTAGTCCCTAGGCACCAGGGAAACATCGGCATGAAACCTCAGATGCAGAGTTCTGCTAGCCCAAGAACGCATGCAAGCTCACAGCTGGCCCCACCACAGGTATCTAAGGGCCTTAGCATAGCATTCTAGGCTGCAATCTGACCCCAAATGGCCTCTCCAACCATGTCCTTGGTTCTTCCTTCTCCTTCCTGACAGGACTGTGCATGTGGCCAGCCTCACCTCTGACCATTTCCAATGAAGAGCCACACCCAGCCTCCAGGAACTGTATGGTTGCTCCTAAGAGCTGAGTTTGGTTCCTTACCTCATGAACTTTGCTCTGCCTGACCCTTCCCCATAATACCATCCACCTCTGACTTTGTCGTCTAATTCCATTCTTCCTTCACATCTGAGCCCTGATGACCTCCAGGGAGCCCTTTCTAGCTCCAGACTGGGTCTCATGCGTCACTGTCCCTGTCCCTGTGCCACCTCTATCATTGTATCTGGCCTCTGGGCTTGAGATGTCCTGTCCTCAAATCCATGTCTGCTCGGACACTCAGTTTTTCCAGAGCAAGGCCTATGTCCTGATTCACCCTTTAGCACAGGATAGGTGCCACCAGCTCCCTACCCATCCAGGCTCCAAAGCTGCCTCTGGAACATGCTGCACATTTTCCACCTGGTGCCCCAGTGCCTTTGCACATGCTTTTTCCTCCTCCTTGGCTGCCTTGTCTCTTCAGTCTTCCTGACTCAGAGTCTCCACCCTTCAGGATCCAGTTCTACATGAATCCTCTGAGAAGCCCTTCTTGACTGCAACCCCTTGCCTTCCTCCTCTATGTACCCACATTTGAAGGTTGGAAGGCCAGGCAGCTTGCCTCTTCCCTTCCCCAGACAGTGTGTCATTTTTCCCAGCAGCCTCAGCAAAAACTGCTCTCCCTCACTCTCCCTTCCTTTTTCTTGTTCTCTCCCTCTACCCATAGCCTTCAAGCTCTCTCCTACATAGTTCAGCTCTGCACCTTTCTTCCTCTCCTCCAGCTACCAGGCCTCAGTTGCCTCCTCGGTGGAAAGGGAAGGCTTTGGACGGGAAGGAGTCCCTGAATGATGCAAACGGTTAATAGAGAAGTTGGAGGTTCTATTCCACCCAGAGGCACCGCAAAAATAGGCTTGGCTATCTAATTCAGAAAAGCCAGCCACTGAAAACCCTGTGCAGCACAGTCCTACTCTGACACACACGAGGTCGTCAAGAATTCGAAATCGACTGGACGGCAACTAGTACTGGTAGGGCTGGAAGAGGCCGAATTTCACTACAGCCCATCCCGGGAATGCTGACTCGGTCGGGAGGGGAACAGGCGCTGCTGAGTCAGCAGCCATAGCGCCAGGCGAGGAGGGCGCACCACTGAGTGTGTGTTTGTGTGTGTGTGTGTGTGTGCGCGCGCGCGGGAATGAGAGTGCGTGTGTGTGCGCGGGAGTGAGTGTGTGTTTCTGTGTGTGTGTGTGTGTACGCGCGCGAGGGATCGTCACACCGGAGGTGGTAGGGGTTTGGGGTGAACCGAATTGCAGAGAACCGGTTCTCGGTCCGGGAACTCACCGTTCCCTTTCTCCGCGGGTGGCCGTGCCGGGTTGCTTTGCGGAGCGGGGGTCGAGACCGAGGCTTCAGTGGTCGCGGGTGGCGCAAGACCCAGCACTGAGGCGTCGGCCGCCCCTAGACTTGGGCCGACGGCAGGCGCGCACGCGGCCAGGGCGAACAGCAGACTCCACATAGCGCGGGTGAAGAGGTAGTCTGCGCGCACGGGCGGTCTGCGGACTTTTCTCTTCCTGCGCGGTGCTCGGGAGCCCCCCGCCCCTTCCTGCCCGCCAGCGCCTCACGCCCCCTGCGTCCTCCGACCCGCCCACAGCCGGGTTGGGGCCGCGGGACGCCGAGAGTGGGGGAGGGCGCGGGCGGAGCAAGAGGGGCCGACCCCCGAGGAGTCCAGAGCAGCAGTGGGGCGGGGCGCGGCCCGGGCCGCCCCGGGTCCCTGCACCCACGGATCCTGCCTCTCCTTCTCCAGATGTACCGAGCTGACTAGTCAGTCGGCAGTGCCCCTCGGCATGGTCAATTTTACTTAATCTTGAGGTTCCATAGTGGGCATCTACTGTGTATCATACATGAAGCGCCTGGGCGCTTTGCCCGTGACCTCGCAATGAAACCTCAATTTACAAAGTGGTAAACTGAGACTCACAGGGACTAACTGACTTGGCCAAAGTACCCAAACCGAAAACTTTAGGAAGGAATCTACAATCCTAGAGGGAAAAATCCATCCCGAGCGAGTTTGCTAAACGATATAAAGAGTGAAGGTAAACTGAGGCGAGGGAAGGGGCTCGGGAGAGGGCGTGAACTGGCCCTCCAGGAAACCTTAGGAAGGACAACCCTAGGGCCCCACGCTTCCCCACCCCCACCTCGGCCCCTCCTCCCTTCTTTTCTTTTTCCTCCCTTCTCCTCCCCTCCGTTTTTTGCGCGCCAGGCTGCCACGTTCCGGGCTTACATAATCAAAGGGAGAAGCCGGGAGCAGATACCCAGCCGGCAGGGCCGTGGCCGGAGGCAGAGGTTTGACCCGCGCTCGCCCTTACCCCTAGTCCGCTTCCTGCTCCTCACGGAGCCGGCAGCCACAGACCCTCGGCTTTCAGAGAGCGCGACTTTTCCCATCCCCCTCCGGAGCCCCATTTGGGTGCCCCGTTCCCTAGAAGGAAGAATACGCGTCCGCTGTGTGCCTCTGATGGGCGCTTTGCCCTCGCTAGGAGCCGGATAAGGAGATGGTGCCTTCAGCATATGCCCTTCCAGAGGTGGTCGGGAAGCCCCTCGAGTGCGTGGGGCCCTGGGCGAGTTTTTGTCGCGGAGCTTCTGCCTGAACAATTTGAATCACTCAAAATCAGCGTGTCAGCATCATTCTGGCGGCCCCATCTCACCCAATCCCGCGAAAGGAATCCTGCACCGCGCTCCTGGAACTAAGTCCTTCCACCGGCCGGGACCACCACGTGGGAGCCAGTCCCGAAGCTCCTCGAGGCACCTGGTTGACCCCAAGCGCTCCAGGTAAATGGCCAGAGAGCGCCCGAAAGCGGTATCAGGGACGAGAGCCGCGTGGGACCCGGTCCCCTCTTGGAGCACCCCTCCTAGACGGCACTGTCAGGTCCGTAGCACCGAAGGGGACTTAGACAATTTCAAGGAAGGTGCTCTAAAAGTAAGGGGTCCCCTGAAGTTCGGGGCGAGGCCGGGGCAGGACCATACTGCAGGCGGTGGCTTTCCTGGCGTGGGAGACCGGGGCAGGCTCCAGTGGAGCTAGAAGCAGGTCCGAAGAAGTGCTGAGGGCTCCCTCCCGCTAGAACCTAATCCGGCTACTTCCCTGTTTCTAGCTCCACCTGCATCCCAATTTCACAGAGGAGTGCAAAGGGGACTGATGAGGGGACAGGAAAGCACAGGACATCCCAAGATTCCTGCTCCCTCCAAGCCATTCTCCACCCGGAACCCAAGTTGTGTCATTTTACTCCTGGCTGGAAGTCCCCAGTGGGCTCCCCTGTAAGGATCTACATGGTCAAGTGCTTTCCTACCTACAGCTTTCCTACCTCATCTCCCTCCACTCCTCCTGGCTCTGGTTGTGGTCCGGCCACACTGGCATTCTAACTTCTCCAAAGCCCCAGCCCCATCCAGCCTCAGTGCCTTTGCACTTACTGTGAACCAACCATCATTCAGATTCCTTTCAAGGTCATCTGTTTCCAAAACCTTTTCCAGACCACTCGGATTAAAGTGAACACTATCACCCTGCACAAACTCTATCCTCCCACCCTGTTTTATTATTGTCTTCAAGGCACTCAACACCGACTGAGATGATCTTATTTGCTCTGTATTCCCTGTGAGGCTCCACCCCTAGGGAGAGGTTAGCACTCTTCGAGAGGAGCTTTGTGTGCTCAATGGGTCAGAATTGCACCTCAGGCACTAGAACAGCACCTGTTCACTAGTTACTGCTCAAAAAGAATGTGTATAATATATTCACGGGAACAACAACAACAACAACAACAACAAAAAAAACCTGACTCATAGCGACCCCTCCTTGGGTTTCTGAGGTGGCATCACTACGGAAGTATTTTGCCCAATCTTCCTTCCCAGGAGTGACTGGTGGGTTTGAACTGCCAGCCTTTTGGTTAGCAGTCAGATGCCTTAGGACAGATGCATAGCATCTGGTTTTGAGGAAGAGGAGATGGCAGACTTGCCCCTAGAGTGACTTGGATTAGACATGCTGGTGCCCTCTGCACACACCCCCTGGACCCCCTTGTCTTCCCCCCCAGCACCCCTATCCTCTCTGCGCTATTACAATCCTCAGCACCCCTTTGCATCCCTCTGCACTCCTCTATGCCTCCTGTGTCCCTCAACACCTTCTCTTACTCTCTCATTCCCTCAGCCTTCTCAGAGCTCCCCAGCCTTGGCTACCACCTCTGGTCTTTGTCACTGGGTACTTGGGGCTGCCAAGGCATGGACCCTGGAAGTAGATTCCGGAGGTGATGGCTCCACAGGTGTTTGTGCCCAGGTATTTAGTGCCAGATGGAAGATCTGTCATGTCTTCATGGGGGTTAGACTGCCTACCAAAGCAGCACTGAGCAAGTGGGGTGGAGGCATACCCCAAAGGGCTCATAGTTAAGTGTTGGACTGGGAATCTCCTGCCAGGTCCGGCATCCCCACCCCATGTGGCTAAGTGGCTGGGCTTGAAGAAGAAGGGGTAGAGGTTGGATAACTTTGGTGCCAAGAAAGACCAAAACCAAATTCACTGCCATAGAGTCGGATCCAACTCATAGCGACCACTCCTTGGGTTTCTGAGGCGGCATCTCTACGGAAATAGATTGCCCAATTTTCTTTCCAAGGAGTGGCTGGTGGGTTTGAACCGCCAGCCTTATGGTTAGCAGTCAAGTGCCTTAGGCACTAAGGCCACTATTTCACATCCCGCTACAGCCATTTGTTTTGTTTGGGTATTTCTGGACAGTCATTTAACCTCTCTGAGCCTCAGTTCTGTCATAAAATGGGAACATAGTTTCTTCCTCATAGGGTTGTACTCACTACCGTTGAGTCGGATCCAACTCATAGCGACTCATAGTGACCCCTCCTTGGGTTTCCAAGGTGATATCACTACAGAAGTAGATTGTCCAATCTTCCTTCTGACGAGTGGCTGGTGGGTTTGAACCACCAGCCTTCTGGTTAGCAGTCAAATGCCTTAGGCACTACACCACCAGAGCTCCTCATAGGGTTGTAGCGATGATGAAATGAGGTAATATTTGGTTCGGGTGAGCCTCTAGATTAACCAGATGAATTAAAGATGGAGAAAGCATTTTAACTTAGTCTTCTTGTTCCCACATACGTGGATAGAATTGACAAATAATACAAAGGAAAAGAAAGGAGGCTGTGTGTCTGGCTGCACAAATAAAGAAATAAGTAGTGGACTCTATACTTGTCTCTGTCTCCTCATCTTCTGTACCCAGTGTTGAGGGAGGATCACTCCTCACTTGGTGCCCTCCCTCCCAGGGGCTGAGGAAGGTGAACAGTGATGAGAACTCCCAAGAGCAAAGATATCACTTTGAAGACTAAGGTGCTCCTGCCTCAAGCCATGATATTTTCAATCATTTCATATGCATGCAAATGCTGGACAATGAATAGGGAAGACCAGAGAAGACTTGGTGCATTTGAATTATGATGTTGGCAAAGAATATTAAATATACCATGGACTGCCAGAAGAACGAACAAATCTGTCTTGGAAGAAGTAGAGCCAGAACTCTCCTTAGAAGTAAGGATGGTGAGACTTTGCCTCACGTACTTTGGACATGTTATCAGGAGGGACCAGTCCCTGAAGAAAGACATCATGCTTGGAAAAGTAGAGGGTAAGCAAAAAAGAGGAAGACTCTCAGCAAGATTGATTAACACAGTGGCTACAATAATGCCAGGCAAAGCATAGCAATGATTATAAGGATGCCCAGGAGTGGGCAGTGTTTTGCTCTGTTGTATGTAGGGTCTCTGTGAATTGGAAATGAGTCGTTGGCACCCGACAATGATAGCCTAAGGCATCTCGATACATCAGGTGCCATTGCCCCAGCTTCTTCTCCCTACCACCTCCCCCAGCTGTCTCCTGTACATCAATGTTTGAGAGCCTTGTTCCTTAAACTGTGGGCTTGGAAATCCCCTGAAAGCTTGTTAGAAATACACTTTTCCAGTCCTACCCCCCCACAATGAATCAGAATCTGTGTTTTAACAAGATGCTCCAGAGAATCCAACCCCAGGAGATTCATGTGCACATTAAAGTCTGATGACGCATTGGTGTAAAACACGTCCATCTAAAATGCACGAGGTTCAGAACTTTCTGACTCTGTGGTTGATGCTGTCATTGGAAATTTTATCTCAAGCCACAAAAATTCATCCACGTAACTAACATTAGGAAATTGGTTTTTCATTCATCCTGGAAGGGTAGATTTCTGATCTCCACAAATATAAGCCTATACCAACTTGATTTTAAAAAAAAGAAACGAAATAATTTTGTTAAATCTAAATACTATAGAATATAGTTTTAAAGGTAAAACAAACTTAAACTTGTAATAAATACTCTTCTTTATGCTTCTCCGCTTCCGAGTCAACTACTTTTAATTATTTTTATTACTTCTCTCTTGTATTTACCTCTAAACAGAAACACTTTTCTGTTTAGATGCTCTCTGTGGATTTTCTGCTGTGGAATCAAGGAGTTAGCTTTCTTAC